CTATAATGCCTCACTGAGCAGAAAAGAGCACCCTGGGTAAAGATGTTCATGTACTCAGAGCATGGATTTAAGAAGCGAGGAAATGGACAGTGGAGTATGCCCACCAGAGAGATCTCCAAGCCCCCTGATCTGGAACATTTGGAGTTAGCTGAGCAACGGACAACAGGAGGGGTGGGGGAGGGGCTGTTCCACGTAGGCCCGTTGAGAAAGGCATGAAGATTTTGTTTCCTCTTGCACAGTACAGTCCTGCATTATAGAGTTTCTGGTCTTTTTGGTGATACATCCCTCCATGATGTCAACAGGACCTTAACCAGGGGAGCGGAAGCTGAAGCTGAAAGAGAAAGTCATCAAGAATGGGAAATTTCTGAAAGATATGAGATAGATCCAGAAGACTAGGAAGAGACCTGGCCAGAAAGCTGGGTCTTTCAGAAGTCAAAGAAGCTTTATGCAGCCAACACAGATCTGGGGCTAGTACCTGTGTCTGAGGGTCTGCATGTCAGGGAGAGATGCTGCTCATGGACACAAGTTGCATCATCAACTGATTCCCTAGGGCCATGTCAGTGACAGCCTCAGTGAGAGACTTTGCCTCCTTCCTGTCTTCTCTGCTGAAACTCCACGTGGTTTTGTATGAGGCTAGGAGGGTGCTTCAGACCTGGGCTCCCCAGATGAAGAGTGTGAGGCTGGGGCTAGTGCCAGGTCTTTCGTGTGTCAGGTTGGGGACCATGTTGCTGTTGGGGATAATTTTTCTCTCAAGCATATACTGTGACACGGTCTCGGTATATTACTCTTCCTATGAAATAGTCATCCCAAAGCGGCTGACGGTCAGGGGAAGTGAAGATCCAGTGGAAAAGGCATCCTATTTGCTATTTATGGAAAGCCAGAAGCACCTGGTTCACCTGAAGGTGAAGAGAAGCCATTTTGTGAATAACTTTCCAGTCTACACTTACCACAATGGCATCCTGGGGCAAGAATCACCTTTCATGTCCCATGACTGCCACTATGAAGGCTACATAGAAGGAGTGTCAGGTTCTTTTGTTTCTGTCAACACCTGTGAGGGTCTCAGGGGCATCTTGATCAAGGAGGAAAAATCTTACAGCATTGAGCCCATGGAGTCTTCAAGACGGTTTGAACATGTGTTATATACCATGGCACACCAAGCGCGAGAGTCCTGCGGTGTCACTCCCACAGATAGCCATGTGGGGTCCACTAGCTGGCAACAAGGGAGCAAGAAGCCTCATGATCTACAGGCGCTGTCCTACTTGTGGTCACACCCCAAGTACGTGGAAATGTTTGTTGTGGTCAACAACCAGCGGTTCCAGATGTGGGGCAGTAACGTCAACGAGACGGTCCAGAGAGTAGTGGATGTCATTGCTCTGGCCAACAGCTTCACCAGGGGAATAAACACAGAGGTGGTGCTGGCTGGAATGGAGATCTGGACCGAGAGGGAACTAATAGAGGTCGCAGTGGACTTGCAAGTCACACTCAGGAATTTCAATCGCTGGAGACGAGAGATGCTCTTCCATCGTGCGAAGCATGACGTTGCCCACATGATCGTTGGGCATCATCCTGGACAGAATACGGGCCAGGCCTTTCTCAGTGGTGCCTGCTCAAGCGGTTTTGCGGCAGCTGTTGAGTCCTTCCATCATAAAGATGTGCTGTTGTTTGCAGCCCTCATGGTCCATGAGCTCGGGCACAACCTGGGTATTCAGCACGACCACTCGGCCTGCTTTTGTAAAGATAAGCACTTTTGTCTCATGCATGAAAATATCACAAAAGAAAGTGGCTTCAGCAACTGCAGCTCTGACTACTTCTACCAGTTCCTTCGAGAACACAAAGGGGCCTGCCTATTTAACAAGCCAAGGCCCAGGGCCCGCAAGCGTAGGGATTCCACCTGTGGAAACGGTGTGGTGGAGGACACGGAGCAGTGTGACTGTGGTTCTGCCTGTCACCTCGACCCATGCTGTGATCCCACATGCACTCTGAAGGAGAGTGCTGAGTGCAGCCACGGCCTCTGCTGCCTGGACTGCGCTTTCAGAAGGAAGGGGTTTTTATGTCGTCCGACTCAAGATGAGTGTGACCTCCCGGAATATTGTGACGGTAGCTCTGCAGAATGCCCTGCAGACAGCTACAAGCAAGATGGCACGCTGTGTGATAGAATTCACTATTGCTCTGGGGGTCAGTGTAAGAACCCCGATAAGCAATGCGTGGATATATATGGGTACCCTGCAAGATCTGCCCCGGAAGACTGTTACATTTCAATGAATACCAGAGGAGACCGGTTTGGAAACTGTGGCCGTCCCACTGAGGATCGGCAAAAGTATGTTACATGTTCAAGTGATAATGTATTTTGTGGGAAACTCGTATGTACAGGTGTTGAATCCTTACCACGACTCAAAGCTCAGCATACAATGATCCAGGTCCCTCATGACGATGACTGGTGCTGGAGCATGGATGCCCATAACATTACTGATATCCCTGATGATGGAGATGTGCACATCGGCACTTCTTGTGCCCCAAACAAAGTCTGCACGGATTACTCCTGCGTTCATCACTCCGTACTCCTGTATGACTGCAGGCCAGAGGAATCGTGTCATGGGAAAGG